TTGGCCCCTCAGTCCTCAGTGTTATTAGCCCCCAGTGTACCCCTTTCCCTGATTTCCCGCTCTGTGCAGTTACGTTGCTGCTGAGCCAGCCTCACCCCAGCCTCACCTCAGACACCCTACCGCTCACTGTGGATGCTCTGAGGAAAGACCTTGGTAACCCAGCTTTGCCCAGGCTGGGGAAGCCGTGAGTCAGCCGGTGGGTGGATCTGTGAGGCAGAGCCCTAGCCCACAGCAGGGGAGCTGAGTTGGTTTCATAAAGAGGCCTCCGGATTTGGCTCAGGCAGCCTCGCATTCCCAGACAGCAGTCTGTCCCTAGTCCCTTGGGGCTGAGAAGCCCTCTCCCTAGCCAGACAGGGTTTCTGGAACCTGTGAGCCTGGCGTGCTGAGGGCGGGGCAGAGCCAGCAATGCTGGCTCCTCCCCTAACCAGAAGTTAGGGGTAGGCCAACCTAGCCCCCTAGCCCAGCTCCTTCTCCAGGGCTTTGTCCCACTGGCCTCCTCCTGAGTCGCTGTTTCCCAGTCCACACTTGGGGGTGCGATTCTTTCTCCGTGGTGTGCGGCTGGCCCACTCTGCCATCTTTCTTCTGCTGTGGGCTGGGCCTCTCTGTCACAGCCCTGACCGGCCAGAGCCCTGCCTGCCTGGTGATGGGGACTGCAGGGCCCAACCTCCCTGCCTTGCCCTGCAGGAGTCTCTGTTCCCGGCCCGCGTGGTCTACGACCTCCTGTTCTTCTTCATTGTCATCATCATTGTGCTGAACGTCATCTTCGGGGTGATCATTGACACCTTTGCTGACCTGCGCAGCGAGAAGCAGAAGAAAGAGGAGATTCTCAAGACCACGTGTTTCATCTGTGGTGAGGCCTGGTTCCTGTCTCGCAGGCCACGGTGGGACTGAGCGGCCCTTGGGTTGGGACATTATCTGGGCCGGTGGCAGCCTCAATTTGGCCCTTCCCTGGGTTCCTGTGGCCACTGGGGAACCCTTCTCTGGGGCTGATGGCTTGATGGCTGTTTGCTCGTCTCAGAATTGGGGACAACAGGACCCTGCCTGAACTTGGAGTAATGGAGCAGGAAAGGGCCTCAGACCATCCCTTTAAACCCTAATGTACAGAGATACTGAAGCCCAGCCAGTAGCCTCAAGCCTCTGGTCTTAGCCAGGGCTCTTCCCATCCGTGGTATGAAGTGCTAGTCCCCTCTCCAGTCACCGCGGGCTAAGGAGCAGGTGTCACCTATAGGACAAATCCTGCTTCTCTGGATTCAAGGAATTCTCGCATTTGCCCCCATGGTCCTTAGCTGCCTTTGCGGAGGGCTGCAGCTGAGGCGGGCGGATTTCCACACCAAGTGGCTAGTGCTTTCAGTAGAAGTGACCTACATGGCCCAGAGTGGGTTGTTGCCTGCGTGCATCAGACTTGGCCTGAGAGCAGGCGTCCCTACGGCAGGGGTGGCGTGCGCTGGACCAGGTGGCCCCGTGGTTCTCGGAGGCAGTGGCTTCCTCCCCGTCCTCTGCATCCTCAGGTCTGGAGAGGGACAAGTTTGATAACAAGACAGTGTCATTTGAGGAGCACATCAAGTTCGAGCACAACATGTGGAACTACCTGTACTTCATCGTGCTGGTCCGAGTGAAAAACAAGACGGACTACACGGGGCCCGAGAGCTATGTGGCCCAGATGATCAAGGTGCGGGCCCTGGGAGGGTGGCCATGGCCGCCTGCACTGACTGGGGAGGCCTGGGGGCGGGGCTGCCGTGGCCCCTTGGGGAAAGGCCAGCCAGGGAGCAGAGGAGCAGCTGGAGCAGCCTGTGGGGACGCGGAGCCCAGCCAGCTGCCTGTGCCGCAGACGGCCCTGCTTGGGCTCTGTTGTCAAGAAAAAGCCACTGGAAACCCATCAGCCCCAAAGGACGGGTGTGATGTCCCCGGGCCATGGGTGCGTGGTGCTGTGGCGCGTGGGAGCGGGGCAGTCCCTGCGTGGCTGCTGCTCGGGACCATTTGGAGGGAATATACGTCATGTTTTGGGTAAAGGAGGAAACCAGCTCCATCTGATGTGCATCTTCAAACTGCCGCACAGCAGATAAATTGCAGGCTGAAGGGAGAGACCTAGTTAGTGGGGAAAAAAGTTGTTTTTTAAGACTATAATTTGAACTGACCTTTGAATACTGGTTTATCAGTTGGTCTGAGAATTCACAGCTTGCCACAAGGAACCAGAAAGCTGCTTGGTGCACTCCCCCTCCCCCCAACTCCTGTCCTGGGAAGAGTGACTTTGCCTCTGCAGGCCTCCTGCTCCCTCAGCTGGGGCGTGGGGCCTGGATGCCGGGGGAGGGGAGGGGAGAAGGAAGGAAGATTCGGGGTCTGGTGCAGAGGCTTCCCCCCACCTCTGAGGGGTGTCGTGAGAATGAACAGATGGTGCTGATAGCAGTGAAAGACCAAAGGCGGCCTAACGGAAGTCAGCCGGTCACAGGGCTGGGCCTTGACCACAGAGGGTTCACTGCCAGCTCACTTCAGCCCCAGGGGACCTGGCCAACTCTCAACTCGGACTTTCCTGAGACTCGCCCCTGGCAGCGCTTTTGCCAAGTATTGGCAGCATTGCCTTTCTCCATGAGGCTTTCCTGGGCCCGGCCCAAGCTCATTCAGCCCAATGGTGATCTTTTTCAGAACAAGAACCTGGACTGGTTCCCCCGGATGCGGGCCATGTCCCTCGTCAGCAACGAAGGGGAGGGGGAGCAGAACGAGATCCGGATTCTCCAGGACAAGCTGAACTCCACCATGAAGCTGGTGTCCCACCTTACTGCCCAGCTCAACGAGCTCAAGGAGCAGGTGTGCACCCCAGCCCCAGCCTCGCACCACCCCTGGGGTCCTACATCGGGCAGCCTCGGGCCGTCCTGAGAGGTCACAGCCCAGCCTGCCATGGGGAGGATGGGACAGGTGCTGTGGCACGTATGCCCCCTTCTTCCTGGCCCCCATTCTTAGTCTGAAGCAGAAGACGGGCCCCAAACAGACTGTCCCCTCTGTGGAAAGCTAGCCTGGGGTTGGCAGTCCCATCCCTGAAGGACATGCCAAGTGGAAGCTTGGTGCCTCCTCTCCATCAGGCAGTGACACTGAGGCTGGGCAGCCCCTTTTAGGTGGGGTGGATTCTGCATCTAATTGGGGTTGTAACATGCTACTTGAGAAGAGGGTTTGGGGCTGACGTGCTCGTTGACCCTGAAGGCCTTGGCCTGTCGCCAGTGCTGAACGGCAGCTGGGTCCTCAGTTGGAGGGTGGGCGCCAGTCCCACGGCAAGGCCATGTAGAGGGTGCCAGGTGGCCTGACCTGTTCGCATCATTTAACCATAGATGACGGAGCAGCGGAAGCGCAGGCAACGCCTGGGCTTTGTGGACGTCCAGAACTGCATGAGCCGCTGAGCCACTCAAGACCCAGCGAAGGCCTGGACCGGGGACGCCTGTACTGACAGCTGTGATTGGGAACACCGCCCCTTCCCTCGGGCTGGGGGGCCCAGCCAGCCTACCAGCTCTCAAGGCTAGGTGCCCACCCACCCTCCAGCTCCTACTCTGCCATACACCCCCCAAGCCAACCAGCATGGAGTGGGGGAGAGCCACAGAGCTGACAGCCCTGCCTAGAGCCCTTAGGACTCAGAAACTCACTGGGACTCAGTTTACCTTAATGCCTTAAAGAAAAAAGTCCTTTTAAAGGGCTGTTGCTCTCAGACAGTCCTTTGGTTCTGCCCGGTGGCAATTAGGAGTGGGCTCCCCCCTCCATTCCCAGCACTACATTTGGTTGCTGCCCACCTCCGGGAGGTGCAGTCGTGCTGTTGTTAGCAAGTCTAGGGCTTTGTTACCTAACTTATTCCCACTGTGCTCAGCCCTGCACATCCCGTGCCTCAGCTCTGCCATAGACAGTGTAGACCTCGCTGTGTGTCCAGGCCAGCCCTCAGTGCAGCCCCAGGTGGACTGCTCACCTGAGGATGGAGGGCCTTGCTCCTGGGACCTGCCCCTTCCTGGGCCTCCGGGGATGGTGCAGGCCCGAGGGGCAGGGCTGGGTGCGGTACAGGGGCTGGTTTCTGACTGCTTGTTTTTCTCCTTTTGGTGTAATGTTTTACAAATCCTCTGGCCTGAGAACTAATATGTTAATTTCCTTAAATAAATTAATAGAGACACAGTCTATTAGAAAGGGATGCTGTTTCCTATATTCCCTGGGGCTGTGGGGGCCAATGTGGCCCGCTGGCCCGGCCTCACCATGGGCTTGGGCTCTTGGGAGATGCTGAGCAACACTGCCTCACGGGGATTGCTAACAGGGCCCCTGGACAGAACCAGAACTGTACTGCAGTGTAACTGGTTCGGTCGTGATCCTATTCATTTTATTGTGGGCATTCAAAGCATGCTGGAGGCCAGGAATGAACATGCTGAAGAACCCGCTTCCACTTCCCCACAAGGCACTGTCCGTCCCTGTCCTGCCCCTCCTCTCCTCAGCTTGGTTTCTGACAGAAGCAAGCTCAGGAATGAAATGCAAAGGCCCCCATGGAGTGATGAGGTGGCCCCTGTGTGCCCCTTGCCTCCCACAGAAGCCACCCAGAGTACTGGAGCCAAGGCCTCTCTGTGGCTCCACTTAGCCCCTTAAACCACCTGGAACACAGGTTTCCTGCAAGGTCAGGGCAGAGGACCAGCTCTGTCCTTCTGTGTCATGGAAACGGAGGCTGAACAGACTTCTCATCTCTGCCGACCACCTCCTGCTGTTTGCCACAGGCTGCCTTCTTCAATGTTTACTATTTTTGGCTATTTCCCACCACACAAGGGAACCAGTCAGACCCCCCAACAGGCTCCTAGGCTGCACAGGAAGCACCTCGCCCAGAGGCCGGGCACCTTCCCTTCCCAGGCTGGACAGAGCCCCAAGCTTCCTCTCTCCTAGAGACTTCCTACCCTGACCGCGAGCGGGGCGGATGCTGGGGCATCCCCGCTCGGGCTGCAGCTTTCTCTGGAGCAACAGGGTGTCCTCTGTAGAGACTAGATGCGATCCCAAGGAGCAGGGAATCAGGGCGGCTTTATTTATGATGGCAACATCCACCCTTAGGTTCGTGGGCAAGATAAGGACTGAAGGACTGAGCACAGGCGCTGCTTCTCAGGACTCCTTGGCGGTGAACTTCTCCTGCAGTTTCTTCCACATGCCTTTATTCATATCCTTGAACTCTCCCAGGGTGTCTGCAAAAGGGCAAGACAAAAAGGAGGCTGAAATCTAAAACTTGCTGACGTATATTGGCCCCAGGCCTTCTCGTGAGCAGGCCTTGCTTTCCCAGTCTGTCCCTGAGAAAGGGAAGCGTAGACCCAACTTCCGAAAAGCAGATCAGACAGGCCATAGAAACTAACTGCTAGCGTGGACTGGGCACTCGTCTCATATTCATCGTCTAAGCCGCGCTCTCGATACCCTGCTCTGCATGCCTGGGCAAAGAAACTCAGGCCCAGGTGCTCTCTCACAACTTAGCCCATGCCACACACACCTTACTGTCTCCATTTTTCAGATGTAGAAACTAAGGCAGAGGGAGGTCAAGACAGTTGCTCAGGTCACACAGCTAGGAAGTGGTAGAGCTGGGATTTGAACCCAGGCAGTGTGGGTTCACCACGTGCTGTGGAGGTGAGCACACACTGGGGAGGGAGACGGACCTGCACCAGAATCCCTGCCCATCATTTCCTCACTGGGTCTCCTCAAACAAGTTACGTTACCCTTTGAGCCTCAGGTTCCTCATCTGAAAAGTAGAAAAATACCTGCCTCAAAAGTTGTGAGGATTAAAGGAAATCGCGGAGGTAACTTGCCTGGCACCCGACCTGCACCCAAGAAAAGGTGGCCATCTTCATAGCTATGAAGGCAGCAGGGAGCTAGTGGAGGCCATGGGGCCCTTTACACGTACGTGTGTATACACACACACACACACACAGCCACACACACACACAGCCCCAAAGGAACCAAAGCTGGGTTCTCAGTCTTGGCACTATTGACATTTGGGGCAGGATAACTTCATTGAGGGGCTGACCTGTGCATTGTAGGATGTTTAGCAGCATCTTGGCCTCTACCCATTAGATACCAGTAGCAGAACCTCCCTACCATACCCACTCCTAGCTGTGACAACTAAAAATGTCTCCAGACATTACCATGTATCTCCCCTGGGTGGCAAAATTGCCCAAGTCAAGAACCACTGGTCTAAAGTCTCCAGGGCTAAAATTCTATACCTGATCTTACCTGTATATTAAATTTAGATTTCCCCACAGTCCTGTCTAAATTTCATAGCCTGGATTTTTATCTGTTAACAAAACTTGTAGAGAAAAGTAACAGCTTTTTTGAACGAAAGGTAACTACGTTACTTATCAACACTGACTGTCAGTGGTCTCCTGACTAAATTAGGTCACACTGCCCCTTAGCCAGGAGCGCAGCATCCCACCCTGGGGCTTTCCAGGAGTCCAGGTGCGCTATGGGGACAAAGTGGGATGCCGAGGGCTGGATCCCTGTCTACTTACAAGCCATGAGGCCTCTTTAGTCTCCTGTGACCCCAAGCCCAGGGTGGACACATTTGGGAACCAGACTGCAGCCACTTGCCAGGCCTCAAAGCCTCTCACTACAAACACTGCAAGGTGTTTTCCTGGCCTGTCAGAGGAGACACTTGGTAAGCTTGTTCTGCAGTCACAACAAGGATAGGATCGCTGAGGAAAGAAGTTAGCAGCAGGTTTCTTGGAGCTGATCCCCCAGGCAGAACAGTCTACGGCCTGTCCCCCGCCCACTCAGAGACATTCCTGAAGTTAACAAGGGGCAGAGGCTGTGCCTCCAGAACTCATTTCCTTTCTAGTTTCAAGTTCAAACTTTGCTCAAACTCTCCGGGTTCTCATAATGACCTCGTGCATCAATGCTGGATTTCACGATTCTGCCTAGCAAAAATACCTTTACCCCAGTTTTCCAGGGTACTGCTTTAAAAACAGGATCAGAGTTGATATAACAGCAGGTGACACCACCAGGTGTTAATCTGCTTAGAAGGTAAGAGTTTTCTGGAATGCCAAATCCCTAAAATGTAGCTGCTGAAGACTGCCAGGGGAATGGGAAAGGGAAATTTCTAGAGTACCACCAGAAGGTGAATGTTTCAGGGCCATGCCTCTCAGAAAAGGTTAGCCTATTTTTGATATCAGATATATATATCCTTGGCAATAAGATATCCTTGGCAATAAAAATAGTAATTTTCCAGAACCTGCCTACTTCAACCCAGGGTTCCCCCATCAGTGACAATGGAGATGCGGAAGTACAGAGGGGCTGGGCTGGGCAGGGTATTTCCTTTCTTGTTAATCACAGTCTATCAACGACTTGAAAACATACCTAGTCAAACCCACATCTAACCCACAGACCATGTCCCCTGGGTCAGATAAGTCTTAGTGGATATCTCCATACACGTTTATTGAATGGCTTTTTGTTTTAATTAAAACACTCATTTATAAAGCCCTCTTAGGACCATAAAAATAAAATTATTTTCCTTCCATCCTGATTTCAACTACTTCCATTTGGCAAACATGTATCCCCCTGTTCCCTGCTGCTCCGCCTTGAATTTAAAAGCTCTAAAGATGGCTTTTCTTTTTTAAAATAATGCCATTGACCTTCTCCATATTCTATGGCCCGAGTATAAGCGCTGTAGCTTGAGAATTTCCTGTGGGCTATTCCAAACATTTTCCATCAGGCTATGAGCTGTATTATTAGACAATTCCCTTTGGCCTCTCAAACTCAAAGAATCCTTTGCAAAACAACCTGAAAGGGCAGCTGTGCTTTCAATACCTGTGGAAAGGATCATCTTGTATTCTTCCAGGGACAGGCCACTGAAGCTCGTGTCTCTGGGGCGAGGGTACTGGTCACAAGGGGCAGAGAGGAAGAGAGAAGGGAGGGGAGAGAAGATTAGTTCTGCAGCACAACCTGAGACCTGCCAATCCTGAAAGAAGCCTGGCTCTCTAAAGGCATTCCCTGGGCCACAAGGGTTGTCCAGAGACTAGAGGCCCAGCAAGGAGAAGAGCAGCGCCACCTGGAGGTCAAAGATGTGGCCTCGCAAGAACCGGCATCATCTGTGGCTGGTGGCTCCAGCTTGAACAGGCACAGGAATCTTCTGGGGAAAGCAGGCTGTTTCAGGGCTGGGGCTGGGCCCACGATTCTTATTTCTAACCCAGGCGATTCCCTGCTGCTGCTCTTGGACCACACTCTGAGTTGCAAGGATTTAGAAGAAATCCTTTTCCAAGTAGGCTAGGCATTTGGCCATGTCCAGGGTGGGGCCAAAGTTGGTTTACAGTTGTTCGTATGGAAGATAATACAATAAATAATAAATAATAACACAAGGATAAACTCTGTTTCTCGTACTCACAACTGTAAACCTACTTTGGCCCCACCCTGCAGACTTGGGGAATACTGAACACATTTTTCAAGCCTGAGAAAACCACACTCAGTGGAATTTGGCAGCTGTCATGAAAGGCCCCAGGAGAAGCTGTTTTGTCTGACAGGACTTGCCCCATCACCTCACCCTTGTCACCAGAGTAGGGCAATGCCACTTCCACCAGAGTGGATGGGAAAATCTAAGATCCAACAGTTATCAAACACACCCAGAAGCACACACTGGCATATAAAATACATGGCTTTTATTCAGGAGTATAAGTAGCTTTTATTTAAGTGACCTAAAAGCCTCTACCAGGTGCCTTTGTTGGCTTGCTTGAAATTACTGGTTACATGTGAAAGTAGCAAAACTGTAATTCTTTACAAAACACTGTAGAATCAGAATTTCACTTGTTCTTATAGGTCCTCTCTAGTCAGAGGCTGGGGATATAAGAGACTGTGCCCACTCACCTTGTGCTTGTAATAGTTTGAATGGAGTCGTGCTAAGCTCTCGTACATCTGATCGCAGGCCTCAGGCTCTGCAACCTGAAAAACAAAGAACCCCGAAGTAGTGAGCAAATAAGCCCTGCCTCCCACACCCTCCTGTTCCTCCAGGAAGGACACCTTGAACAAGGCATTCACATGAAGCAGGACGCACTCAGCACTCGCTTCTCTGCTCCATGGAAGCAAACCTGGGCTAACTCCCCGAACTCCCTGCTATGAGAAATCACCTTTTTGGAGTAATGGCTCCACCTCATCAACTCCCCAACATGCAGAAAAACTCTATCAATCAACTGGTAAAGAAGTAGTTGTTCCGGCCAGGCGTGGCTCAGAGGTTGAGCGTCGACCTAGTATCCAGGCGATCGGGGTTCGATTCCTGGTCAGGGCACATGCCTGGTTTCGGGCTTGATCAATGACTCATCATTGATGTTTCTATCTCTCTCTCCCTCTCCTTTCCTCTCTCTGAAATCAATAAAGATCTATTTAAAAAAAAAAAGTCGTTGAGCATCTGTGTCTTGTGCAANGTCGTTGAGCATCTGTGCCTTGTGCAACCATGCCAGCTGCAGAGGGAGATGCCACAATAAAAATACAATNGTCGTTGAGCATCTGTGTCTTGTGCAACCATGCCAGCTGCAGAGGGAGATGCCACAATAAAAATACAATGCAGGAAGGGTGACTCTCATAAAGGGACCACTAGGGCAGTGTGGGCTCGGAGAAGTCAGAGGAGGGGGCGTCCCCACGTGGGAGTGGTCAGTGTATGGTGGAGGTGAGAGGAAGCGGGGCTCTGAAGGATACATAAGAGTTAGCCTTCTGGTGGGGGAAGGGTTGGGCAAGGCAGAGGAGGCAGGAATGCTCTCTACGCAGAGGGTCTGAATATGTAGGCAAAAGTGCCTGGGCTGGAGAAAAAGAGCTTTTTGAGTTAAACCTTTAATATGAAATGTATTAAATAGAGATTCTTTTTTGAAAGGCAAAAAAAAGTCATCTGGGCCTTCAACTGTGGTAAGTGGGGAGCGGTTGAAATTTGCAAGAAAAGAACATGAAGAAACAGGTACGCTGAGCTGAGATACGTGAGCTGAGGAAAAGAGGGAGAGTTCAGCCAGGTCCTGCTAGGAAGGAAGGCCCCGAACACTGCAGCCTTGTGAGTAGAAAGGGGAAAATAGAGAGATTCTGGGTGCCTAAGACAGCGATGCCCTCGCTGGAAACTCCAGGGAAGACAGATGAGAGGTGGTTATTTACCTTTCATGCCTCTTGTTGGTTTCCCTTCCCTCGGCCCTTGCTATTATTATCTATAGTTCCTTACATTCTTCAGCCAAGAATTCTGAAAACTCCCCAGAACACAACTTTCTCTTTTATGTTTTTTGCCAGAATTCAAATGATGGACTTTTCTAACTTAAATCCTTTCTTGAAGAAGGCAGAGCACAAATAAATCAGTAGTTAAGCGTTTTAATAAGGCCATTAGCTTCTGCCTCTATGTGCGTGTCAAACAAGGGCTCCACTTTACCGCAAACAAAAAGATGGCCATTCATTTGGTTCCGTGTGATCTGCGCCGGTTCAGCCACTCATCTTGAGAATGAGGTAGCACATCAGAAGAGAAAGGATTACGGGCTGAGGAGATAGCCAGTGTTTGCTGAATAATAACCAGAGGCATCGTCTGAGTGGACTGGGGCCAAGGGCTGAAAAGAAGGACCTCATGGAAACTGAGACTGTGGCTGAGTCTGGGTCCCCGCCGGGCGGCCGGGCGGGCAGCGCTTCCAGGGGAAGCCCAGGGGCGGAATTCTGCAGCACCCACTCGGGAGGGCAGTGTGAGCCCTGTGTCTTCAGCATGGCGTGCACAACCAAGAGCTAACACAGAAGACAGAGGAACAGGCGGCACAGGCACACAAGGAGGAGGAGACCGGCACCAGCACCAAGTTCTAAAGAGTATCAGGGAGAGATTCCAAGACGGCGATGGACTGAGTGGAAGCTACACTGACACTCTCCCAGGACCAAACTGGAATTACAACTACAATAGAGAAAAACCACCCTGAACAATCAACGGATGACTAGCTGGAGAGCACCCTCATAACTACGGAGGAAAAGACCACATCGAGACTGGTAGGAAATGTGGAGGCGAGAAAGGGCTGGCTGGGCTCCCACAGGCAGTAGCTGAAGGTCCACTGGGATATTTCAGCTGTGGGGGGTTCCCACTGAGGACTCTGGGGCCTAAATCCCCCAGAGCACCAGAACTGAGAGAGGTGCCCACATAACATCTGGCTGTGAAAAGCAGCTGGGTTTCTGTCTGCCAGAGAGAGACAGCTGGAACTGCAGGCACCCTCTTAAATGGCCAAAGCACAAAGTTTTGTGTGAAGCCACTCACCTTGGGACTAGAGCTGTGTGAGAAGAATCTGGGGTTTCGGGCTCTGGAGAAGAACCTCAGAGGGCAGCTGTCCGGATTCCTGTGCTGAGTAATTTGCCTATACTGCAGAAGACATCTTTCTCAGGCAGACCTTTGCCAGCCAGGCAGNCTCTGGAGGAGGGAGTGCAGAGTGGACTAGAGCTGTGTGAGAAGAATCTGGGGTTTCGGGCTCTGGAGAAGAACCTCAGAGGGCAGCTGTCCGGATTCCTGTGCTGAGTAATTTGCCTATACTGCAGAAGACATCTTTCTCAGGCAGACCTTTGCCAGCCAGGCAGCTTTTGCCTGGGGGGAAAGCAATTGCACCACCCATTGGAAAACCTCTCCTCCCATGCTGTAGAGTTTCCTCTGGCTGTTCTATAGCCTGAGGCTCATTAAAAGACTAAGATCAATCAGCCTGCAGGCAGAGGCGGACTTCTGGGAGCTTTGAGTCTTTCCCTGGTCTTCTTCTGTACCTGGGCCTGAGAAAAGCAGACTTTGGTGTGCATCTTGGTCCTGTCCAAACGCACGCAGCCCCAGCAGAGGGAACCACAAGCCATGGGTTGTTGATAGCTCCAAACAGGGTACTCAAGGCCAGTCACAAAGAGCATCTGAGACTAGCCTGCACCAGAGACCCTCCCAAAAGACTGAGAGTCCTAGAAGATACACCTAATACATAGAAACAACCCAAATAGGCAGCCAAAATGGGGAGACAAAAAAGCCCCAAATGAAAGAACAAGAGAAGTCGCCAGAAAAAGAGCTAAATGAAATGGAGATAAGCAATATATCAGATATAGAGTTCAGAATACTGAAAGTAAGGATGCTCAACAGCTTGAAAAAAGATATAGAAACTATGAAAAATGACCAGTCAGAAATGAAGAATGACACAGCAGAAATAAAGAATACATTGGAAAGAATAAACAACAGATTAGAGGAAGCTCAGGATCAGATCAGTGAATTAGAAGACAGGGTAGAAAAAAAATCACTTAATCAAGAGATCCAAAAAGAAAAAACAAAAAACAAGAGGACAATTTAAGGAAGCTGTGGGACAGCATGAAATATAACAATATTCGCATTATAGGAGTACCAGAAGGGGAGGAGAATAAGCAAGGGATAGAGAACCTGTTTGAAGAAATAACAGGAGAAAACTTCCCCAACCTGGTCAAGAAAAAAGCCACACAAGTTCAGGAGACACAGAGAGTCGCAAGCAAGAAGAACCCAAAGAGGCTCACACCCAGAGACATCATAATTAAACTGCCAAAAATTCAAGACACAGAGAGAATCTTAAAGGCAGCAAGAGAAAAGCAAGTTGTTACCTACAAAGGAGCTCCCATAAGGCTGTCAGCTGACTTCTCATCAGAAACTCTACAGTCCAGAAGGGAATGGCATGAAATATTCAAGATAATGAGAAGCAAGGATCTGAAACCAAGACTACTCGATCTAGCCAGGCTATCATTCAAAGTAGATGGTGAAATAAAGAGCTTCCCAGACCAAAAAAGGCTAAAAGAGTTTATCACCACCAAACCAGCACTACAGGAAATGTTAAAGGGACTGCTGTAATAATAAGAAACAGAGAGATACATAGGCATAAAGAATTAAAATGGCAATAAATAAGGATCTATCATTAATAACCTTAAGGACTTTAAGGGAGAGATCAACAGCAATACAGTCATAATTATGGACTTTAACACCCCGCCGACTTCATTAGATAGATCTTCTGGACAAAAAGTCAACACAGAAACAGTGACTCTAAATGGCACAGTAGATCAGATGGATTTAATTAATATTTACAGAACATTTCACCCCAAAGCTGCAGAATATACATTCCTTTCAAGCGCACATGGGTTGTGCTCAAAGATAGACATGTTAGGATACAAGACAAGTCTCTACAAGTTCAAGAAAAGTGAAATCTTATTAAGCATCTCAGATCACAATGGCATGAAATTAGAAATCAACTACAGTAAAAACACTCAAAAACATTCAAACACATAGAGGCTAAATAGCATGTTATTAAACAATGAATGGGTTACCAGTAAGATCAAGAAAGAAATCAAAAACTTCCTGGAAACAAATGAAAATTAACACATAATCCAAAATCTGTGGGACACAGCAAAAGGAGTCCTAAGAAGGAATTTCATAGCACTCAGGCCTACCTCAAAAAGCAAGAAAAATATTTAGTAAACAATCTAACCCTACAACTTAAAGAATTAGAAAGCTCCCTTGTGAAGCCATCTGGACCAGGGCTTTTGTTTGCTGGGAGTTTATTACTGCTTCGATTTCATCAATTGTTATTTGCCTATTCAGGTTTCCTGATTCTTCCTGATTCAGTTTCACATGATCTCACTCATATGTGGAATCTAATAAACAAAGTAGACTGAGGAACAAAATAGATCCAGAGACATAGAAGCATGGAATAGACTGATGAATCTCAGTAGGAAGGCAGGGGTGGGGAAGTGGGTGGGGAGAAATTAATCAAAGAACTTATATGCATAACCCATGGATACAGGTAATAGTATGGTGAAGACCTGAGGGGGGCGGATGCAGGGTAGAGGGGATCGATGGGGGAAAAGGAGGCTATCTGTAATACTTTCGACAACAAACACAAATTAAAAAAAAAAAGAGTATTAGGTAGTGGCTCTCTCTTTGGAGCAGGTCTGTGCCTCCCCTCCCCCCA